GAGGCAGGAGACTCGCTTGGGCCCAGGAGTTGGAGGTTGCTGTGAGCTGTGATGCCACGGCACTCTGCCCAGGGGGACAGCTTGAGGCTCTGTCTCACAAAAAGAGAAAAAAAAAAAAAAAAAAAATCAGCACATTTACCCCATAAATGCATTAATGTACAAGGTTATGATTTAATTTTAAAATAGAAAAAAATAAAAATACAGAAAATTCTTATTTTTCCTTTATCCCTTCCCCTCCTTTCCCAGGGCCATCTCTGCTTTTCCCTCTGTTAGCTTCATTCTGTAACCAGATCTTTTCAGTGTAGTGGGGAAGATGACCACGGAGGGCTCCAGATTTATATTCTCTTGGCATGTTGCAGCTACAGTAGAAAAAGTGTCTATGTATCATTTTAGAGAAGAACTCAAGCACTGTTTGGGTCATATATCTAGCCCTGAACCAGAAGCTGTTGTCAGAGATGTGGGAAACTGATCAGCTGGTTTATGTCAACTATGGCTAGAAAAGTAGCAACCCTTGACTAAGTTTCTCGAGTATCCTAGGGTTTTCTAGAGAAGGGCAGGTTCCCAGAGGAAACAGGGGCAGCTAAGCAACTACACAACAAGCATCAATTATACACAATAAGACTATTATTTTTTCCTGCTTATGTTTAGAGCCAGTAAGGTGTCTCTTAACAGTGTGATTGAAGGATTACATAGTTTTCAGCTTTGAATAATGTTGAATCAAAATTGATTTTGCTTTAAGTATTGACATCTGTTATTTCTCAGTAGTGGTACATTATATTGGTGGGTGTCTTATGGTGGATACTGTTATATTTTCTGTCTTTCTAATATGTTAAAAATATTTTAAGGGTACATGTGAAATTTACTAGGTGTAGAACATAAATGTCCAAACACAATAACTAAGAAAATGCCATGAAGGCTATGTTAACCAGTTTGATGAAAATATTTCAAATTGTATATAAAACCAGCACAGTGTACCCCATGATTACGTTAATGTACACAGCTATGATTAAACAAAAATTTTAAAAAATAAAATAAGAGGCTCGGCGCCTATAGCTCAACCGGCTAAGGCGCCAGCCACGTACACCTAAGGTGGCAGGTTCGAATCCCCAGCCCGGACCTGCCAAACAACAATGACGGCTGCAACCAAAAAATAGCCGGGCGTTGTGGCGGGCGCCTGTGGTCCCAGCTACTTGGGAGGCAGAGGCAGGAGACTCGCTTGAGCCCAGGAGTTGGAGGTTGCTGTGAGCTGTAATGCCATAGCACTCTACCCAGGGGGACAGCTTGAGGCTCTGTCAAAAAAAAAAAAAAAATAAAATAAGAAATAAATTATAATTTAAAATATCAAGAAAATTAATTTAGCTTCAAATTGGTGAATAATGTTAGAGACTTGAATTATAATTTCCCTTTAATATTAAGTTGTAGACATGATGTTGTATCTGACCTAGTAGCGTGTCTTAACATTTTAAAGGTACTATGTTATAAAGGTAAATTATTGAGGATTTTTTTTTAAATCATTGTATTTATGATATCATAGGTACCTGCAAGGTGTGGAGTTACAGTCCGAGACAGTCTAAAGAAAGCACTGATGATGAGAGGTCTAATACCAGAGTGCTGTGCTGTTTACAGAATTCAGGATGGGTATGGTTTGTATGTGATACAAAATTTTGTTTAAAATTTTTTTTTAAAAATCAGACATTAAACTTTGAGGTTTCTTCTAGGGCCTTTACGCAAACCTAGAGAATGAGAGTCAACTTTAGAAAAAATATATTAAATTAGCCTAAAGAAATCTTGTAGGCTGGGCGGCTCCTGTGGCTCAAAGGAGTAGGGTGCTGGCCCCATATGCCAGAGGTGGCCAGTTCAAACCCAGCCCTGGCCAAAAAAAAAGAAAAAAAGAAATCTTGTAGGCTAGATATTTTATTTGACTGTAGCATTTGTTACTCTGATCAAATGACTTTATTCACAGTTTGAGATTCTTATAATTTTTGATCCATTTTCCGTGATTTATTTGGATAATGGATGGTTACCCACTCTCTCATTTTCAACACAAATTTATAGCTTAATAAAAGATATATCAAAATATACGTTTCATATTGACTTTTCTTTCAGAAAGTATCTTAACATTATTCCAAAACCCCTAAATTTTTAATTTTGTTTAAAAAAAATCTTTTTTGGGACATGTTGTCCCTTGAGTATTCTTTTTCTTTGAATGGATAGTTAAGTCCGTGCCTGTGATTTTTTTCCTTGGACCCCAGGAACAATCCATTTTCTGCTGTTGTAGGTCTTTTCTGGAGCTGACTTGAAGAAAAGTGTACCATCTCTTTACCCTGCTGTTTGTCCAAGAGTGATACATTTATTTGGGGTAAACTTAAAAATTAATTTATTGCCATTTAAATTTCTAACGACAGAAAACCAGGGAACCAAATCTCCCTCACTATTACTAGCCCCTCAGTAACCAATTTTCATATCTTCAGCATGAGGTGTATGAGAATTTTGGTGTAAGACAACCAAGAAAGGCTTATATATGCATTTTTCAGAGAGAAGAAACCAATTGGCTGGGACACTGATATTTCCTGGCTTACCGGAGAAGAATTGCATGTGGAAGTGTTGGAGAATGTTCCACTAACAACGCACAACTTTGTATGTATCTTTACTTATTTTATTTAAGTGTCAAAAATGTTCAGGTTTTTATGAATGAATTTTTGTTCAGGGAGTATGAAAGATAGATTTTGGGATTGACATTTTACCTAAATTGCAAATTAGTTTTGTTCTTTAAAAACTTACATTTATTTGTACCCTCAATGAATCCCAAACAAAAAACTTACATTTAAGCTACAGAATTGGTGATGCCCGTAGCTCAGTGGGTAGGGCGCCAGCCACCTACACTGGGGCTGATGGGTTTGAACTCAGCCCAGGCCAGCTAAACTACAGAGTTTTATTTTAAACATTATGATTTCTTCTTCTTCTTTTTTTTTTACATTTCATAATAATTACTACTACTTTTCCTAATAATCCTTCATAGCTAGAAATTGGATATGAGGAAGAAAAAGAAGACCTAAATTGCTAAGCATGAGAGACCACATTAAAATGGTGCCTCAGGAATATCCTCCCCACCAAAGGATAATGAAAGCAATATGGATTAATTCCAGAATGTGGGAATTCTCACAACACAGCTGAAAACCTGCCAGTCAATTTGTAATGAGAACTTTCCATTTTCCAACACTTACCTAGGGATAGGATAATGAATGAGACTAGCAGCATCTCTGCCTTCGAGAGAGAATTTTAAAAGAAATTTTCATAAGCATTCATAATTACTGTGTATATTTCTAGTTCTGTAAGTACACGGTTCTATAGCTGCACAGACACTTCTAACCTGGCTTTGAGGAGTCAGAATGGTTTCCCAAAGGCAGAAATATCTAAGCTGAGGCCTCATGAATGAAGAAGTAAAGAGTACTCTAGACACAAGGAACAGCAAGAAAACATGTTACCACTGAAGTTTTGAAAGAAGTTCAAAATGCATAATACAAGTTGGAGGGAGGGGTGTTAGCCATATAGCAGGAATTATGGATAGAATGGGCAGAGTCCAGCTCATGAAAATCCTTGTAAGCCATATTAAAGATTTGGACTTTTCTCTAAAATAATTAGAAATTTAATACTTGTAAATGAGGGGAAAGTGTGGTTAGATTTGTGTTTTAGAATGATTGTTTTGAGTGCCATGTAGAGGTAAGAGTAAAAGCTTGTGTTCTGCTTAGAAAGGAAAGTATTCCTTCCCCGGTTTTTGCTGTGTATCAAGGAGTGCTGCTTATGCCTCCTGGTTTCTTAGAGTCCTTTATAAAAGCAGTTTCTTCAGTATTTGCCTACATCCCAGGAGTCCTTGGAAACTGAGATAGTGGGAGAGATAGGGAAACTAGATTTGAAACATATGCCACACCACGTGTACAGCCCTTCCTCTTTCTCTATAGCCACTCAGGGTCTCCCTTCCCATAGCCTTACCCCTTACAAATTAATACATGTAAAATTGCCTAGCCTATGCTACCAACTGATTTACCACACATACTTAGATATGCTCAAATTCCAGAGTAAGTGTAAACTGAAAATAAAGGAAGATAATATTGTCCTGTGCCCATTTTTATTAACTAAGTTATACTTCCAAAACAAGCATGTTGGTTAAAATTTTCTAAATGCTTATCCACAATTTTTCTCCTTCTCACATGTTTTGTTCTACTTCTTCCCTCTCCTTCCTCTTCTTCGTCTCTCACTTTTTCTCATTTACATATACAAACAACCAGCTACACATAGTTTTAAAGTGTAAGTTAATGGCAGAAAGAAAGACTGATTGAGTACATTAATGGAGGAGGACAAATTGAGGCCTTCATGAAACTGAACAGGTGAATAAGGAAATGAGTGGTTAACAAAAAGGATCAGATGATTTAGAAAAGCTGAGATCTATGAAAACAGTTTTTTGTTTTTTGGTACTCTATTTCCTGAGATTCTGCTAATGGTATAAAAGAGGGTTGGTTTGGTAAATAGTGACCACATAAAAAATACTGAAGATGTTTTAATTTTTTATGTATCCAGACATAAATGGAAAAAGAACAAAAATCTAGACGTAACTATTTGCCTGTTTTATATCCCCTAAAAAGTTATACATACAAAAAAAAAAAGACAAGAACCACTTTTTTTTTTAAGACAGTCTCACTATGTCGCCCTCAGTAGAGTGCTGTGGTGTTACAGCTCATAGCAACCTCAAATCTTGGACTCTAGCGATTCTCTTGCCTCAGCCTCCCAAGTAGCTGGGACTACAGGCGCCTGCCACAATGCCCAGCTATTTTTGGTTGCAGTTGTCATTGTTGTTTAGCAGGCCCGGACCAGGCCAGACTTAGTGTATGTGGCCAGTGCCCTCTTCACTGAGCTACGGGCACCAAGCCAAGAACCAAGTTCTCAAAAGACTAGAATGGATTATGTGCTGGCTATATTTTTTTTTTTTTTTTTTTTTTTTTGTTTTTGGTTTTTTTTTTTTTTTTTTTTTTTTTTTTTGCAGCTTTTGGCCAGGGCCCTACTCCTTTGTGCCATAGGCGCTGCCCCTGGCTATAATTTTCTTGATAAAATATTTAATTTTTTATTCTATTAAATATGTTTATTGAAATAGATTTTGTTTTTGAAATCTAACCTATCATGAAAAGCATTTACATGTGATAGAATAGATCAGAGAGTTCTGATTTACATTTTTTATATAGTCAAGGTAAGTATTATATGAATATAGGTATATACTGGGTCATAATGTAAAAGATACTTCTTACTATTTATTGTTTGTGATTAAAATTTTAAAAAATCTGAGATGAATTGAAAATATACAGCAAAGAATGAAATAGAAGTCACTCATGGTTTCACCACTCTGAAATAACCATTGTTACTATTTTGGTATTAATCTGCCCTTTTTAAGTTTTCTGCTTATTGTATATACAGAAGAAATACATTTTAAACAATGTCTGGCTTGGGTAGGATTGATTTTTTCCTAGCATGGTTTCTGTTATTTCTAAAAAGCTTCTTGCAAGCTTTTCAAGTCTATCATTTTTTTTACTTTGCAGGTACGGAAAACTTTTTTCACCTTAGCATTTTGTGACTTTTGTCGAAAGCTGCTTTTCCAGGGTTTCCGCTGTCAAACGTGTGGTTATAAATTCCACCAGCGTTGTAGTACAGAGGTTCCACTGATGTGTGTTAATTATGACCAACTTGAGTAAGTAACAAAATATCTGTTAATATCTATCCATTTTACATTAAAATTTTCTTAGTGTGAAACTATTATGTCTTAAAGTCTGTGAGGAGTTTTCTGCCTAGTACACTACTATAGTATACCCAGTTCTTCTCTCCCAGACAATAATTCTGGTTCAGCCATGCGCGTAATTCATATTTTATATTATCTTTTAATTAATCAAGTCCCCTAGCCCATAGAAATCACTTTTGGGTAGTTTTGGGGAGGAGAGGGAATTTTGTTTCAATTAAGTTAATCACTATATTTTTGAACCACAGATTGGGGAGTCTGATTCTGTCAGCTATTTTATAAATTACATTCATAGTCTTCCTCTTTCTCTCCCTGTCCCACTCTCGCTCCCCTGCCTTCATCCCCATTCAATTCCCTTCCTCTAATCTATTTAAGAGTAAGATATAAAATGTACCCAATATATCTCCTTCTAAAATTTTTTTTTGCTTTATGCCACTATACTAAGTCTATTGTATTGTTGCTGATGTTAAGGTCTTACTGTTTTTCTTTCTTACTTTCTTTCCTATTTTTCTAAACAAATAGAGTTTAACTCTGTACTTTAAGTAAATAATAACAATGTAACCTAAGTATATACTCTGTCTTCTAATTCCTTAACCATAAAGCATGCTTCCCCCACTCCCTCCATACCATATGTAGAAATTTGCTGAATAGAACAATTAGTTTTAGATTCTGAGGTTGCCTTTGAAAGTACAGTACAATCTTTTAACATAAGCCTTTAGATAAAACACAACCAATTGAATTCTACCAATTGTTTCTGAAAATGGAATTTTATCTCAGATTTTTTTGTTAACTGTGTATTCTGGTGTATGAAGTTTCTGGGTTTTGCACAAGTTAGGTTTGTTTTGTTTTGTTTTGTTTCACCTCACAGTTTGCTGTTTGTCTCCAAGTTCTTTGAACATCACCCAATATCACAGGAAGAGGCCTCCCTAGCAGAGACTGCCCTTACATCTGGATCATCCCCTTCTGCACCCCCCTCAGATTCTACTGGGTATGATGTTATTTGAACTGCTTGCTTTTGGATCTTTCGGTTAATTTTAAACTTTTCCAAAATTTAAATTGTTAAATTGTTAGATTTTTTTCCCCCTAAATTACTTGTTTTATCACAAAATCAGATATTTACATACATTTGGTATAGATAAATGGGATTAAAGCTGACATAGATTGTTTTAGGATCAGTAAGATAAAATCAAGCCACAGATAGTTTTGAGTCCCTGCCTTGTGTTCAACATTTTATTAAAGTTATATTAGATATAGAAGTATATGTCTTCCATGTATTGAAACATTAATATATGAGACAATGGAAAATAATTTAAAACTCGTATCTAACTATAATATACTATTCTGATGGAGTATATTAAACTATGTGATGAGGATGTAAATGTTTTCATGTTTACAGGAGAAGAGAGATTAATAAAAGAGAGAGCGTACTCAGAAAAACTTAATGAAGAAGGTGGGATTTGAACTGGACTTTAAAGAATTGCTACAATCTGTATGAGCCTAAGAACTAAAAGCCTAGATGAAGGAACAACGAATGACAAAACAGTATAAGTAAAGGAAGTGAGGGTGGTAGGAGCTAGTGAGGAAAGGCTTATCTAAGTTGAGAAGTCCCATGTATAAGACCAGATTATGGAAAGTCTGGGAATTCAGACTGGAATTTTAGACTTGACATAAGGGAAGACAAAGAATTAAAGGTTTTTTAAAGCAGATTACCAACCTGGTAATAATGGTTTTAAAGAAAGAATCACCTAGCAGTAAAATATGGGTAAAGTGATAGAGAAAGTTGAGAGTGAAGAAAGCCCAAGCTCAGTTGCTATTGGTAGTGAAAACTGGGAGACAGTGAAGACTTCAATGGGAGTGGTAGCAATGTGGAAAATGGATAGATATTTATAAAGTATAAAAGAAAAAAATTAATAGTATTATTAATCAGTAATGAAGATAAAACCAAGAAATTATTTCAAAAACAATACAAAGGCACCATATGCTTAACTTTCATAATAGGGAAAGAAAAGGAAGGCATGATAATAATGAGTTAAGTTGGTACTAGTTTGCTTTAGTGTTTCTCACGCAGGTCTGCTGACTCTTTTCCTTACTGGATTTGTAGCAGAATTATCTATACTATGTCTGGAAGCATGTGGTTAGAAAAAGAAAGTCTCCCTACAGCATTCTGTTTACTTATTTATTATTTATTTTTCTTATTTTTTTTTTTTTTTGAGACAGTCTCACGTGCCATGGTGTCATAGCTCACAGCAACCTCAAAGTCTTGGGCTCAAGTGATTCTCTTGCCTCAGCCTTCCAAGTAGCTGGGCTACAGGCACCTGCCACAATGCCCAGCTAATTTTAGGGATGAGGTCTCACACTGCCTCAGGCTGATCTCGAACCTGTGAGCTCAGGCAATCCACCTGCCTTGGGAGTGCTGAAATTACAGGCGAGAACCACCACACCTGGCATCCCTACAGCATTATTTAGTTAAGATCAAAAATATTTGTTGACAAAAAAAAAATACATGTCAATTTTAGCTGTGCTTCACTCCCTCTTCACAATATAATGCTATTGCTTCAGACTTCTACCTAGAGAGACTAAAAATAAGTAAGTTGACACTTCTAATAAATCTGTAATTTTTATGACGGCAACCTTTCTGGGAGTTTCATAGGTTGGAAAATTTAGTAGAAGAATTTTGAATTAAGGAGTGGATATATTTATCTATCTGGAACACTAGAAAATACACCCAGTATGTTCTTTAGTCAGGTTGTAAACCTGCTCTGGTGGAGTCATTTTATTCTTATTGACTCTATCACTAGTTGTATGCACTCGGGTGTTTTTTAGGTGATCAAATAAAAATGTTCTTATTGTTTACTGTAGTTTTTAATTAATTAATCTTTTAGCAATGATATTTTCTCCTGACAGATTCTATAGACCATGATGCCTTTCTAATGGCAGGTACCTGTTCTGTGAACAGAGTTACAGAACACCATAATGAAATTAGCTTGGACTTTCTGAGGTCATGCTGGTAATGATCAGGACATGTGCCTTCCAGTGAAGGAAGACTGTCTTAAAATTAGGAAACCATTTGCCTGTGCCATGTGTATTTTATTCATAAAATAGATTCTGGTCTTGAGCAAATAAGAAAGATGTCTAAATTCTTCTATAAATAATTTTCTTGAGCTTTTATGCCTCTGTAAAGATAGAAGCCACTTTGTTCAGTATAAAAATCCTTTGCATTTTGTTACTAGCCCTGATAATAATTATAATTGTCATAAAAAAGGATAATGATGTAACCAATACTTATTGGAGAAGTGATACTTTGTCTAGTTTTAAATAAAAAGTTAGAGATAGTTCCTTTTCTACTTTTATTTATTTATTTAATTTTTTGAGACAGAGTCTTACTTTGTCATGCTTAGTAAAGTGCCCCAGTATCATAGCTCACAGCAACCTTAAACTCTTGGGCTCAGGTGATTCTCTTGCCCTAGCCTCCTGAGTAGCTGGGACTACAGGCACCCGCCATAATACCTGACCATTTTTAGAGACAGGGTCTCACACTGGTTCAGACAGGTTTCAAACCTGTGAGCTCAGGCAGTCCACCCACCTCATCCTCCCAGAGTTGCTAGGATTTGCTAGGATTACAGGCATGAGCCACCTCGCCCGGTCCCTTTTCTACTTTTAAAAAATGCTGTAGAATATCTAAATTTATGAAAGTCACCATTTTCTATTTGCATTATCACTGAACAGAAATGGTTGCTTTGCTAATATTCTAGATTAAGAATGAGATCATAACTAAGTGGTAGTTTGCTGAAGGGTATTAGAGTTAAAATTCTTATTTTTAATTTGGTACTGCTTTAAAGAGATTTGTAGCAAGATAGGTAAAGGTATCAAGAGAAATATAGTTCACTGCCTACCAACATAGTTTATACGGTATAAATTACCTTGGTGTAGAGAAAGATTTCCCAGTGTGGAAGCTCAATGTTATTAGTTCCCAGAAATGATGAGAGTTAGGAATATACTGGTTTAGATGAATCAAAATCAGAAGAGACTCAATCAGAATACCAGGTAATTCTTTTCAGTGAGAAATATACCTGTTGTGTTAATTAGGCTTCTTATGTTGGATAGGCCCGCACTCCTCTTTTGGAAGATATTTATGGGAAACTAAATTATAGCCAGAAGATTGTTTTGGAATTAGTATATCGTTCAGTTATTTAATGACATCAGAATGTGATAACTGGAAGTGCTCTCCTGTACTTGCCCTCAAAGCTTAAACAAGTTGACTCTGTGGCCAAGACACACCTTACTCCCAGGTGATATTGGATATAAACTACCAAACTTAGGCACTCTGATTTTGTGTAATAGGCAGATATCCTCATATTCTAAGGTATGCATTATTTTCTTTAGATATGAAAATGAAGTTTATCACATTAAATCAGGTTTTTGTTTTTCTTGCTTCTGGATCAATGTGTCTTTTGCATACATGTTTTTGATTTGTTATTTACTGTGTTTCTGTCACATTCCTAATTTGAGTAGGTTTTAGGAATGACTTATTGCCACTTCTGCCTACACCAGATCATTGCTCACTGCAGCCTCAAACCCCTGGGCTCAAGCCATCCTCCCTCCTCAGCTTCCTGAGTAGCTGGGACTATAGGTATGAGCCAGGGCACCTACTCTCAGATCAATTATTGGATTAGACTACTGTGTACAATTCTAGTTAATTCAGGCTTTTTCCAAGTTTAAGTCTTCATTTAAAGTATACTATTGGCTCGGCGCCTGTGGCTCAAGTGGCTAAGGTGCCAGCCAGATACACCTAAGGTGGTGGGTTTGAATCCAGCCCGGGCCGCCAAACAATAATGGCTGCAACCAAAAAATAGCCAGGCGTTGTGGCGGACGCCTGTGGTCCCAGCTACTTGGGAGGCTGAGGCAGGAGACTCGCTTGAGCCCAGGAGTTAGAGATTGCTGTGAGCTGTGATGCCACAGCACTCTACCCAGGGGGACAGCTTGAGGCTCTGTCTAAAAAAAAAAAAAGTATACTATTGCCTTGAGACATTATTATTAGTAGTATTGACAGAATCTCACTCGGTTGTAAGCTAGAGTGCCATGCCATTAGCCTAGCTCATAGCAACGTCAGACTCCTGGGCTCAAGTGATCCTCCTGCCTCAGCCTCCTCAGTAGCTGAGACTGCAGGTGCCTACCACAAAATCTGGCTAATTTTTTTCTATTTTTAGGAGATATGTGTTTTCACTGTTGCTCAAGGTGGTCTCAAACTCCTAAGCTCAAGTTATCTCCTGCCTTAGGCTTCCATAGTACTAGGATTAAGGGTGTGAACTACCACTCCCAGACTCTGCCTTGAGAATTTAAATTATCCTATAAATGGTGTTGTAATTGTACTCTTGCCAAGCTTTTATATTAACTAATGTCATTTTTACATTCTTTTACCTGCTCCCAAAATTTCTTATCAAAGGGTATACATAGTGCTTTGGCTGCTTAAAGCAAAAATAAAGACAGCTCTGTCAGAAACAAAATTTTTCAGTAGCCAGAAGAAAAAGAATATAGATGGGGCAGCACCTGTGGCTCAGTGAGTAGGCACCAGCCTTATATACCAAGGGTAGTGGGTTCAAACCTGGCCCCAGCCAAGCTGCAAAAAAAAAAATAACCAGGCATTGTGGCGAGTGCCTGTAGTCCCAGCTACTCAGGAGGCTGAGGCAAGAGAATTGCCTGAGCCCAAGAGCTGGAGGATGCTGTGGGCTGTGATGCCATAGCACTATACCAAGGGCGATAAAGTGAGACTCTGTCTCTAGAAAAAAAGAAGAAGAAGAATATCAGTGGAACATGCTAATTTCTCTAAATCCCAGTGTCAATCAGTTTTTTAAGTATAGAATATTTTATTTGCATTGCATATTCAAAATGAATTCATTTGGTTAATATGAACATACAAAGTCAGAATTCCCTTCTCTATCCTTAATAATGTGCTTCAAAGAAGTAAAATTATAAAGTAATATTGTTCAGATTCTGACATGCTCTTTTCAGAGGCTTTATGTCAGTATTTGGCTTCCTTTGCTCTTCAAGCCTTTATCCATATCTTTCCTACTACATATTTTTCCCATTCCTCTTCCAACTCTCTCCTTTTACAGAAAATATCTTTTTATTCTCTCATCATTGTCTTTTTAGCCATGTCTTAATAACCACTAAATAATGTTAATAATAGTAATAATTGGAGTTTGCATAAGATGGAGTGGAATGACAGCCTCTACGTGAAGAATTTACTTGTGCTGATTTTGGCCCTGACAGAGCTCGGTGAGATAGCCTTACCTACTCTTATCAAGTTATATCACTTCCCTGCTCCCTGAATATCCTCTGTGAAGGGTAGAGACTTCTTACCAGTGCTTATGATCTAATCTCAAAATTTTAATTTCTGTGAGTGCCACATTCATTTTAGAGCTGATGAGAGACCATAGAGTTTCTTATTTAGCAAAAGTACCAAAATAAGTCGTTATGTATTTTGGTAGTTTGATCAAAAGCAATTTTTTAACTTTTCTTTATTTTTGCAATTTTTGGCCGGGGCTGGGTTTGAATCCGCCACCTCTGGCATATAGGGCCAGAACCCTACTCCTTTGAGCTATAGGCACCACCCAATCAAAAGCAATTTTTAAAAATGTTTGCTTTAATGTTTAATATATGATTCTTTTGTGTCTCTTGTTTCAATAATTGGGTGTGACTAACATTCTAAAATACGAGAGATATTGGCAGGGCCAGGCACAATGGCTCACACCTGCTATCCTTGCACTCTGGGAGGCCCAGGTGGGTGGATTGCTTGAGCTCATAGGTTTGAGACCAGCCTGAGCAAGAGACTCCTGTCTCTTAAAATAGCCGGGCACCGTGGCAGGCACCTGTCATCCCAGTACTTGGGAGGCTGAGGCAAGAGAATCGCTTGAGCCCAAGAGTTTGAGATTGCTGTGAACTATGACACCACAGCACTCCACCCAGGGCAACAAAGGCAGAGTCTGTCTCCAAAAAATATTTATATATTGGCACTGTGAGGATCGTCTTCTGAACTTGGCGATAATCTTTGGATATTGTTCAGGATTTTCATTCAACTCTGGTGTAAAACAATAGGTACATCGTTCAGGTCCTAAGTACACATGTACATGTATTTTCAAAATATTTATAACTTCCTAACAAAATTTTCTTTTTAGTACCTTCAGATATCATGAAATGGCAAAGTCAGAAAAAATGGCAGATTTTATTTAGTGTCTACTTAGAATATATTTGTTTATAATTTTAAAAGACCAAAACTTCCTCACTGATTAACCACAGGTAATTTCTAGTCATTTGTAGATTCCCCTGAAGTTTTCTGGGTACGAAAGAGTGTTCTTATTGGTAGTTCCTGGAGGGTCTGCTTGAACAAAGCAATTTTGGCGATATTATTGTAAGAATATATTAATTTTTAAATTAATACTATTAAAGCCATTACTGATGGACTTGTAATGTTTATTTTAAATATTTTCAGAATATAAAAACAAGATTATCTTTATATCTTCCATTTTTTAAATATAATTATCTCTTCATACTTGCTCTGAATTTTATCTTCTAATGACTTGATCTTTACAGGCCCCAAATCCTCACCAGTCCATCTCCTTCAAAATCCATTCCAATTCCACAGCCCTTCCGACCAGCAGATGAAGATCATCGAAATCAATTCGGGCAAAGAGACCGGTCTTCATCAGCTCCCAATGTGCATATAAACACAATAGAACCTGTTAATATTGATGTAAGTATCCATCATCACTAGAACCTAGCAAGTATATATCTTTGTTTTTCTGCTGTAATTATAATTTAAATCAGAAATAATTGACATCTTTTATTTATTAGTTATTTTAAGTGATCATTTTCTTATGAATGACATCAGAAAAGTCCATCATCTTCTCCGAAGGCATTTCACTGGTATCAAATTGTAGAGTTACTCTGACTTTTTCCTTATGACACCATCTCCATGAAAGCCTTCTCTTCTGATAAAAATGATTTAAACATCAAAGGATTGAACTTAGCCGGGCCAGCTAAAGACAACAATGACAACTACAACAAAAAAACAGCCGGGCATTGTGGTGGGCACCTGTAGTCCCAGCTACTTGTAAAGCTGAGGCAAGAGAATCGCGGAAACCCAAGACTTTGAGGTTGTTGTGAGCTGTGACACCACAGCACTCTACCAAGGGCAACATAGTAAGACTCTGTATCAAAAAAATAAAAATAATAAAAAGATATACTTTGATTTACTGCATATCATCAAAAAAAAAAAAAAAACATCAAAGGATTAACAGAGGTCCTTGGGGAAATTGCAGAAATTCTTTAAATTTTTGAGATATAAGTTTAGGACTTTGAGATATGAATTTAGAAGTAATTAGGGTGTGTGTGTATAAATATATACATTTTTTTTTTTTAGAGACAGAGTCTCAAACTGTCACCCTGGGTAGAGTGCCATGGCATAACAGCTCACAGCAACCCCCAACTCTTGGGCTTAAGCGATTCTCTTGCCTTAGCCTCCCAAGTAGCTGGGACCACAGGCACCCACCACACCTGGCTATTTTTCTTTTGTTGTTGTTGTTGCAGTTGTCATTATTGTTGTTAGCTGACTTGGGCTGGGTTGCAACCTGCCAGCTTTGGTGTATGTGGCTGGTGCCTTACCCACTGAGCAACAGGCACCTCCATAATTAGCATATTTATGTCAGTTAAAACCATGGATATAAATAAATTGAAAAGGGGAAGAAATTGCAACTCTGGTGAGCATTAACATTTTTGGTGCCAGCTTCTGTCTTCTTCCTAAGTCTCACTCCACACGACTAAGGGAAAGTAGCATTGCAGAAACCAAAGGTAGAAAAGGGGTTTCATCCCAGCTACTCAGGAGGCTGAGGCTGTGACACAATGGCACTCTACTGAGGGTGACATAGTGAGACTCTGTCTCAAAAAAAAAAAGAAAAAAGAATGTGGAAGTAGTTGATGGCATTTGCTGTTAAAGCCAAAATGAGGTAATAACTGAAATGACTGTTTATTTTGGCACTGAAAATGTCCTTTGAGGGCAGCGCCTATAGCTTAGTCAGCAGGGCGCCAGCCACATACACCTAGGATGGCTGGTTCGAACCCAGCCTGGGCCTGCTAAGCAACAATGACAACCGCAACCAAAATATAGCCCGGCGTTGTGATGGGCACCAGTAGTCCCAGCTACTCAGGAGGCTGAGGCAAGAGAGTCGCTTAAGCCAAAGAGTTTGAGGTTGCTGTGAGCTGTGATGCCACAATACTCTACCCAGAAAGACAGCTTGAGACTCTGTCTCAAAAAAAAAATTGTCATTTGACTTCATTGAGAACTATTTTAGAAGGCTAGCAGAGGGGGGAGAAGGCAAATGAGGAGGTAGGATTATCAATTTTTAAAAGATTGGCTATAAAGAAATAATAAAAGAGGCACAGCTTAATGCAGGGTTGAGGGTCAGTTTTTTTTTTTTTTTTTTTTTTTTTTTGAGACAGAGCCTCAAGCTGTCCCCCTGGGTAGAGTGCCGTGGCATTACAGCTCACAGCAACCTCCAACTCCTGGGCTGAAGCGAGTCTCCTGCCTCCGCCTCCCAAGTAGCTGGGACCACAGGCGCCCGCCACAACGCCCGGCTATTTTTTGGTTGCAGCCGTCATTGTTGTTTGGCGGGTCCGGGCTGGGGATTCGAACCCGCCACCTTAGGTGTACGTGGCTGGCGCCTTAGCCGGTTGAGCTATAGGCGCCAAGCCGAGGGTCAGTTTTTAATATAAGAAATTTCAGCATATTTGTAACTAGAGAGGAAAAAGTGAAGAGGGGTTGAAGATAATCAGAGAATAATTGATGTAGTAAATCTCCTTGAACTTGGAAATGATGTTCCTCAGAAACTGTGAAGACAGCTCAGCACCTGTAACACAGTGTTTACGGCACCGACCACATGCATGGAGGCTGGTGGTTTTGAACCTGGCCCAGGCCAGCTAAACAACAATGACAACTATAACTCCCCCCGCCCAAAAAAAATAGCTGGGCATTGTGGTGGGTGCCTGTAGTACCACCTACTTGGGAGGCTGAGGCAAGAGACTTGCTTAAGCCCAAGAGTTTGAGGTTGCTGTGAGCTGTGACGCCACAGTACTCTACCAAGGGCAACATAATGACACTCTGTCTCAAAAAAAGAAACTGAAAAATTGAAGATGAAAATAGCCGACTAGCTCTGTAGCTTTTCACAGGCTATATGATATTTGGCAAATTACCCCTGAGGCTAATAATGTCTACCTCCTGTAGTGATTTTAAATGCTTATTATACCCAGTATATAATAAGAATTCAGAAATTACTGCTAATATTACTGTGCAAATATATGTAGTATAAGGGCAGGACAGAGGGTTCCTTGATGGTTTGTTTTCTCTTTTACTTAGGAAGGGGTGTAAAATAATGAAGGAACTACAAAAGAGTAAAGTTTGAAATAGCCAGTTTGGGAATGCTAGAAGATCTTAGGTAACCTAGAATGAGTAGAAAAGATTGTCAAAGAGCTTTAAAAAACACACTTGAGACTGAAAAATCTAAGTTTCTGTTAGTGTTAGCTTTAAGTTATAAGAGTAAAGAAAGCCAATTTGCTCAATCCATAGTTGAGGGGAGTTTAGAGTTGGTACAACAAAAAAGATGTTCCATCTTGTCTAGAAGGCCCGTTGCTTTTCTATCCCTCCAGCCCCCAGTTCACAGCCATTTCTTTGATTGTTCGTCAGTGATCAAGTCCTGTGATTATTATGTATAGCATTTAAAACCATACTACTTAGTTGGCATTAACTAAGCAACAAACATTGCCTTCTTTTTTATGCTTAAGCTTTTATTATTATGTCTTTTAATTTTCACATGTGTGCTTCTTGCTTCCAAAGAGATCGTAAGGTCTCAAAAACACAGAAAGTTAATGGTACCAACGAATTTTTATATTTATTGGTAGCTGCACCTATTATCTTGTCTGCAGGTATATATGTGTTTGTTGATTATTATGTAGAAAATGTTGAAGGCTTTGTTTAATACATTGAATGTGATAGAAATACAACTATAAAGAATTTACACTGTTTTAGCCCATAAACAAAAAGTTGTCTATTTGCAAAGAGCCTATTGCCATTTTTCAAAAAAGAGATGAAGTCTTCCTATATCGACCAGATTGGCCTCTTAACTCCTGGATTTAAGTAATCCTCCTGCCTTAGCCTCCCAAGTTAACTGGGACTACAGGCTCACGCCACTGTGCCTAGTTCCATACAGAGCCTCTTTAGAGAGACTTAGAGCCACCAGTCCCTTATGTTTAGGTTAAACTGAGTAAACAAACTATTCCAAGTCCTGCCTATCAGAGTCCACCTCGTATTACCCATAGAGACTTTCTCACTACCAGCATTATTGCAAAAAGCTGTATTTTAATAATAAAGACAAACTTTAACAGGTCCTTATTTGAGCAATTTTGATATTTTCTAATGTGTCCATACTTTCATAATCGTAATCAGTGTACTTTAATTTTTTATTTTTTTCATTATACTGTAAACATTATTCAGGCTTCATAATTATTTTGGTAACTGCATAATACTTCATTAAATTGATACAACATAATTTAACCATAATATGGCAAAATGCCTACAACAGGGAAATAATTATTATAATTTTTTAGTATGATGGATTATGCTGCACTGAACATCTTTGTGCATATCATTTTTTCTTCTGAATTTCTTCCTTAGGAAAAATTCCCATAAATGGAATTATAGGATCAAAGGATGGACATTTTTGTGGCTCTTAATATGTGCCAATAGAATTTTCTTTAAGGATTGAAAGAGCCATTGGCTTTGAGTGGTCTGAAATGGATTTCAACCTTTAATCAGGACTAATAATCCTTTCAGTATAGAGTTAGGTGCTTCAAAATTTGGTTTTTATCATGTTCACTGGATAATCCCATATTCTATTTTGTGAAGTAGTTATAAAACAGGTATTATTTTTAATTAATCTTCCTGTTGCATATTGGAAAAAATTCAATGTTATTATTACTTTCTTACTATGTGGTTTGAATAAATATACATTACTGTTTATTTGTAGGACTTGATTAGAGACCAAGGGTTTCGTGGTGATGGAGGTAAGTAGAGATTTCAGTTTAAAAAAAAACTCAGGGAAAAATGCAATTGCTTCGCTGCTTGTCTTCTTTATACTTGCTTCTTTCATGAAACACAGACACAGAGAAAAATGTGTAGAGAAAAGCCCCAAATTTTTTATAGTATTATTTATCTCTAATAAAATTTTAATTGATTCATGAGTAGAGAATATGAGAAGACATAAAAGTACTATCTGCATTTTAAAAATATTGTACCAAAAAAAGATCCTTAATTATTCGACCCATCTTATTAGTCTCTATAATTGGCTCCAAAGTTGAGGTTGCTACATTTCCTTTGAGGGCCTCCACTGGTACTTATTAATGATTAAGCTTAGAATCAGATAAAACTTGGCTTTGCTAAATTATTCTTAGAGGGAATCCCTTGGGTTGCCTGCCACAGCTTCTTGATTTATTGTATGTTATCAGCCAGTTTCCTTCAATTTTCTGAAAGTGTTTGAAATGTACATTTTATAGAATAAACTCATAATAGGAAAGCCTACTTGCTCTCTTACTGTCTAGTGAATAAAGTAAGCCAATAAGATGCTGAATTGGTATTTCCTACAGAATTTTCATCTAGTATTTACTGTAACACATAAAACAACATTGCTTCAGAAAATACTTTTTGTAAGAATCCCTTGATATATATGCTCGTAATGTTTTCTAAGAGATGGTATTTGAAGCTATCTTGAAGATTTCTTTCAGGTGGTCCTCTTCACTTACCTTCTCGACTAAATTCTATTAATAAGGAAATCTGTAGTATTGCTTATCATGCTTAGAATTGGTCTCTTTACTGTGACCATTTTTATCTTCACTATGTCTAAACCCAGACTCAAAGATATTTTACATTTTAGTAAATATTGTATGAACCATCTTTTGCTATATGTCTGTACACCTGCAAAGTAACCAAAATAAGGATAAGCCTGCATTATATACTCTAAACGTAGTATTGAGTACTGCACATAATTATACAATTTTTTTTCTGTTTGTTATTTCATGAACCTGCCTATTAATGTTGCTGCCAGTTTGACCTTTGTATGTCTTAATAGCTGTGGCTTTTGATAATTTTGCCCAATACATCCAGCATTTAAATGTTGCCATCATGTTAGCATCACAAAGTTAACTTAGTGATAAATACAGCCTGCTTAGTACCTAAAATCAAGTGGCATTTCTTGTCCTTTTTATGAGTCACTTTTTAAAAAATCATTGGGATTTTATGAAAATAAGCAGATTTTTTTAAACGTCCAGAATTATTTTGTAAAGCAGGCTTCAATTCATCTTATTTATTCCCCATGACTTCTTTCATTTCTTCTGTGTGTCTGTCTTCCTGTGTTTGCCTGCCCCTCTCTTTCTCTTCTAACAGCCCCTTTGAACCAGTTGATGCGCTGTCTTCGGAAATACCAATCCCGGACTCCCAGTCCCCTCCTCCATTCTGTCCCCAGTGAAATAGTGTTTGATTTTGAGCCTGGCCCAGTGTTCAGAGGTAGTTGGGCTCTTCTTTCTTGTTTTCACCCAAAGTAAACTAAATATAAAACTACAGCTGCTGTTTGTGCCTCACCCTCACAGTGTGTGTTTGTAAGTGTGAGAGTTTTCAGTACTAAATTTCTGCTTGGCCTGGCTGGAATGCTCTGAATGTGCTTCTCACACATACTCACTACCACAAGCTTTCTGTATGCTGTCTGTCATAAATTTTTAAAAGTAAGAAATTCTGAGCTGAGTTCCATCTTGTTGTTAGTTTATTACTTGTTAGTCTTGATTTACTCAGTGTGGGGGAGAATAAAGCATGGGGGTATGTGGGGGGGTCTTCAACCCAGATTCCTTTGGTTTTAACACATTTAGGTAATAACTTTGATTATTGTTAATATTTGGAAATAATTTTTGGAGTTTTTAAGAAAAAATGTAAATGTAAACTTCAATTATGAAGTATTTTAGGTATATAGCTTCTTTTACATTTTTGTTTTGAGATTTTATAATGTCAGTAGTGCTTTGGAGTTTTTTCCCCCTGTAATGTGAGATGTATACAAGGTGACCATAAAGTTCTGTACAATTTAAAATTGCACACTATTTTACATTGCACATGAACTTTATGGCCACCCTGTATATCTGTGTCAAAGGTAGAGAGAAGTAAAAAAAAGAAGTTTATAGTATGTTTTGGATATTTCAACATACTTAATAAAATTTGAGGATTTATACTTTTAATTATGTACTAATATGAGAGAAACATTCATGGTATAATTTCATTCTCCCATTTCATCTTGCCATACTTTAATTGGTGGTTAAACTGATTGTTAAAAATTTAAGTCAAAATTGGGACAGATGTCTTGCCATAAATATTTTTCAAGAGTTATATTTACTGGCTCTTAGTAGTGTCTGTTACTTACTCTGAATGTGGTAATGGTGCTTTAGATTCTTTCTCAGTGTAGCTGATTCTTAGAAAAGCCATAGAATGTGATGGAAGTCCCATAGTAAGTAGTTGGGAATATAATTAAATTAAGTCATATAACATAGCAGTGAGGAGATCAGAACTGTGAAGCCTGGTCAAGCAATTAAGACTTTATAATGTAGAAAATTAGCAACAGAAGGTAGAAAATGGTTTATGCTCTAGTTAATAGAGAACATAGTATCATTCTGGATACCATTTTCTTTAAGAAAACTGTAAATGAGATCATAGAAATTCTACTTGATAATAAAATATAGTAATGATAAAATTTTTACACAGATTTTACATTTAAATGTTGTCATTATTCTTGTTCTTTGAAAGATAGTGGCTTTGGAGTCCACTTGCTGAAGGCATCTTTGGTGTGGCTCTGGGTCATGGTCCTCAAATTTGGCTCAAAATAAACCCCTTTAAATTATAAAAAAAAAAAAAAAGAGAGAGAGAGAAAGAAAGAGAGATAATGGCTCTTCCCCCTCTCCAAGAATAGTTATCATCTTTGTATTTTTTATTTATTTATTTATTTATTTATTTTGAGATAGAGTCTCATTTTGTCACCCTCAGTAGAGGGCTGTAGCATCATAGTTCACAGCAACCTCAAACTCTTGGGCTCAAGTGATTCTCTTGCCTCAGCCTCCCGAGTAGCTGGAACTACAGGCGCCTGCCACAATGCCTGGCTATTTTTAGAGATGAGGTCTTGCTCTGGCTCAGGGTGGTCTCGAACCTATGAGCTCAGGCAATCCACCCACCACAGCCTCACAGAGTGCTAGGATTATAGGCGTGCCACTGTGTCCAGCAGTAATCATTTTTTTAAAAATCATTTTCTTAAGGTCTTTTTGTTCTGTATATGAAATACTACTTGACTTCTCAGTCCTGTGCAGCTGTACTCACTCACACCTATAAGTCGTGGCCCTCCACCCAGCTGAACCAGGTGAACTCAGGGTGTTTTTTCACTGAATCAGCATTTGAAAAAGTAGCCATCAGAAGGCCACAAGCCTGCCACTGAGACCATTTCCAAAGGATCCCGTGGCTCATAGACTGTTTGAAATTGTAATAAGGAAACTAGCTGGCTGGTGCTTATGTAGCTTTCACTTACAAAGACAGATTTTTCAGAAGGACTCAAGAAACCCACTGCTTGTCTTTGTTTTTTTTTTTTTTTAGAGACAGAATCTCACTTTGTTGCCCTTATTAGAGTGCTGTGAAGTCACAGCTCACCGCAGCCTCTGGGCTTAGGCGATTCTCTTGCCTCAGCCTCCTGAGTAGCTGGAACTACAGGTGGCCGCCATGACACTCGGCTATTTTTTTGTTCCTAGGTATATGGGGCCAGCGCCCGACTCACTGAGCCACAGTGCCGCCCTCTTGTCTTTGTTTATATTAATTTTTTTATGTTAGTAACAAATAATCTTTGTTCAGTGTAATAAGCCTCCAGAAACCAATGACACTGATCAGTATCTCTTAAATATAGAAAATAAATATAAGACTCGGCACATAAAATAAATATAAGACCTGTAGCACAACGGTTACGGCACCAGCCACGTATGCCGAGGGTGGTGGGTTTGAATGCAGCCCAGGCCAGCTAAGCAACAGTGACAACTGCAACAACAACAACAACAAAAATAGCTGGGTATTGTGGTGGGCGCCTGTAGTCCCAGCTACTTGGAAGGCTGAGGGAAGAGAATCGCTTCAGCCCAAGAGTTGGAGGTTGGTGTAGGGTGACATAATGAAACTCTGTCTCAACAAAAGTAAAATAAATAAATAAATATAAATTTATTATATAAATATAAATATATTATAAATATAAAGTAATATATAATGTAAATATATTATAAATATAAATAATATAAATTTAACTCCTAAATTAATTTAATTTCACATTAGTGGCTAATACAAAAGACCTATGTATTTTCAACATTAGGCCATTATTACAAAATACTTCCATTTGGAGGTTCCATCTTTTGTTATATTGTCTGGTTATTGAGATAATATAAAGTAATTAAAAGACAATTTGTTATGTAGGCTTTTAAATTGATTTTGCTTTTTGATTTTTTTTAATCAAAGAAAGAGAAACTTGGGAGTATTTTTTATATTTGTCTTTTGGTTTGGAGAGATTTTTTTCTTCTAGACTTTTGCCAATAAACAAAGTGTATCTTTATCATCAGATACTTTTAAAGTTCATTAAATTGGCCAGAAAACTGACAGAATTTATAGTACTAATCAAATAAGGACCTTTTTTGGTCTGTTCTTTCAAAAAGGTCTGTATTTGAACATGCAGTGCATTTTAAAAATAAGTCTAATCTCCCCCCACCCTCTGCCCCATAATAAATTAACATTTTTGCTTGTCCTTAATGGATCCATTTTTCCTTTCAATAATTTAGGATCAACCACAGGTTTGTCTGCCACCCCTCCTGCCTCATTACCTGGCTCACTCACTAATGTGAAAGCCTTACAGAAATCTCCAGGACCTCAGCGGGAAAGGAAGTCATCTTCATCCTCAGAAGATAGAAATCGAATGGTGAGAGTCTATGATACCTTCTTTTTCCTCTAAGTTCTTTCTTTTAGAAGTCAAAGCCAAATGTAATATCACCTTTTAGATATATTATGTCCATATGTGACACAGAATTCTCGTATTCAAATACATTTAAGAGCTGATAGTTTTTTGCTTAACATGTTTTATTACAACACTAATTTTGCTCTCATCTCTAATATAATTTGGTAGACAGCAGTTTTAGAAGAGTAACAATAGTATTCTCTTTCTGAAATAGGGAAAAAGATACTAAGCTAGTATTTAGAAAGCATGATTACGCATATACATTCTAAAAGCTTGTCCAGAATTCAAATATGTACCACATGACATTCTTCCCTACTTAAAAAATGAACTTTCTGGGCGGCACCTGTGGCTCAAGAAATAGGGCACTGGTCCCATATACCAGAGGTGGTGGGGTTCAAACCTGGCCCCAGCCAAAAACTATAACAGCAGCAACAACAACAACAAAAAGAACTTTCTGCTGGAAAATGTATCTATATTAAAAACTAATAATTTTAGCACTACTGTCTGTTGGAGAGTTGGGTCCATTGCCCTACTATTGTAATTATGTATACAGAGATTTTTTTTTTTGAGATAAGATATATGAGGAAATTCAGCACATGCTAGATTTTTTGTGCTTTGGAGCCCACACCACTCACACATATACAATACTTATTTTGCCCCCTTTAGTCCTCCAAATGATAAAAATTGTTTTATTTATTAATTTTAGCAAGTCTATACATACTTTATAAATAATTTCTCTTTTTTTTTTTTTTTTTGCAGTTTTTGACCAGGGCTGGGTTTGAACCCACCACCTCCAGCATATGGGGCTGGCGCCAGACTCCTTTGAGCCATAGGCGCTGTCCAGTGATTTATAATTTTAATCAGTTATTTTCATTTTAATATCAACTTCAATCTTGACATTTTATATTTTAGAGTCAAACTTTTAATTATTACTCCAATCTTTTTCTTTTCTACTCAACTCTTATTCTTTTCCTAAATTAAGTACCTCTCAGGCATAGGTGTAACATATGTAGTGTGAAATATAAAGTGAGCCTTTTTTTGTTTGAATTGACTTTTTTTACTATTTTTATCAAGAAAACACTTGGTAGGCGGGATTCAAGTGATGACTGGGAGATTCCTGATGGGCAGATTACAGTGGGACAAAGAATTGGATCTGGATCATTTGGAACTGTCTACAAGGGGAAGTGGCATGGTATGTATATAATGTGGTGACCTTGTCACAGTCATAATGATAGGATATGTTTGACAAGTTTTATTTTTAAAAAGGGAGGGGAGTATTTACTGTTTGCATCATTAAGTTGTTTGGATCAAATGCAAGAATCCAAAGATTGCTAACAAAAATTATGGGAAATAAAAACTGGTTCACGGCTCGGCGCCTATAGCTCAACCGGCTAAGGCGCCAGCCACGTACACCTAAGGTGGTGGGTTCGAATCCCCAGCCCGGACCCGCCAAACAACAATGACGGCTGCAACCAAAAAAAAAAAAAAAAATAGCCGGGCGTTGTGGTGGGCGCCTATGGTCCCAGCTACTTGGGAGGCTGAGGCAGGAAAAAAAAAAACTGGTTCACAGCAACTAGGACTCCTATTATATAGTACAGCAATCATTTTTTTTAAATGAAGATCCTCCAAGTTAACGAGTTCCCAAAGTGATTTTTTTCTTTTAAAAATCTTTCTGCTGATAATTTTATTTGTATGATAAATCACAAGTAGATATATTGAAAGTATACTTACCAAAGTAAGAAATATAAGTGGCCAGTAAACATATAAAAATGTTTGGCCTCACTTAGTTGTCAAATAATTGCAACTTCAAAAAAATAGAGACCATATTTGCATCTCATTTGGACAAAGATTTTCTTTTTCTTTTTTTTTTTTTTTTTTAGACAGAGCCTCAAGCTGTCCCCCTGGGTAGAGTGCGTGACATCATAGCTCACAGCAACCTCCAACTCCTGGGCTCAAGCGAGTCTCCTGCCTCAGCCTCCCAAGTAGCTGGGACCACAGGCACCTGCCACAACGCCTGGCTATTTTTTTTTGGTTGCAGCCATCATTGTTGTTTGGTGGGCCTGGGCTGGATTTGAACCCGCCACCTTAGGTGTATGTGGCTGGTGCCTTAGCCACTTGAGCCACAGGCGCTGAGCCGACTTAGATTTTTTTAAATTGATCATATTTAGAGTTGTGATTATGATGCTGGTATAAACTTTCCTGAGGACAATTTAGCAAGGTGATATTGAGCTAATAATTCTATTTATAAATTTGTTAAGACTTTATCATGAGAAAATAATTGGACAGGAATGAACACATAGGTGTGAAAATATTTTCATTAATGAAAAGTGGTCTGGGTGCAGTGGCTCACACCTATAATCCTAGCACTCTGGGAAGCCTAGACAGGTGGATTGCCTGAGCTCATAGGTTCAAGACCAGCCTGAGCCAGAGCCAAGACCCCATCTTTAAAAATAGCCAGGCGTTGTGGTAGGCGCCTGTAGTCCCAGCTACTCAGGAATCTGAGGCAAGAGAATCACTTGAGCCCAAGAGTTTGAGGTTGCTGTGAGCTATGATACCATGGCACTCTACCAAGGTTGACAAAGTAAAACCCTGTCTCCAAAAAAGAAAAAAAAATTAAAGAAAAGTGAAAAGAAGGAGTTGGCCCCCATAGCTCAGCAGTTAGGGCATCAGCCACATGCACTGGGGCTAGTGGGTTAGAACCTGGCCTGTGTCTGCTAAACAACAATGATGACAAAAAAAAAAACCAGTGTTGTGGTGGGCACCTGTAGTCCCAGCTTCTTGAGAGGCTGAGGCAAGATAATAGCTTAAGCCCAAGAGTTTGAGGTTGCTGTCAGCTGTGATAGGTAGAGGCCATGGCACTCTACTGAGGGTGACATAGTAAGACTCTATCTCAAAAAAAAAAAAGTTTTAAAAATAGTCGAGGCTCAGTGCCTGTAGCTCAAGCAGCTAAGGCGCCAGCCACATACACCTAAACTGGGTTCTAATCCAACCCAGGCCTGCCAAACAACAATGACAACAACCAAAAAATAGCTAGGCGTTGTGGTGGGTGCCTATAGTCCCAGCTACTTGGGAGGCTGAGGCAGGAGAATCGCTTGAGCCCAGGAGTTGGAGGTTGCTGTGAGCTGGGATGCCCCAGCACTTTACCCAGAGCAACAGCTTGAGGCTCTGTCTCAAAAAATAGTAATAATAAAAATATAAAATATAAAAATAGTTGAGCATGGTGGTACATGTATGTAGTCCCAGCTGCTTAGGAGGCAGAGGGCGGGGGGATCTTTTGAGCACAGGAGTTCAAGAGAGCTATGATTGTGCCACTGCATTCCAGCCTGGGTGACAGAGTAAGACCCTGGCTTTAAAAATAAATAAACATTTGAAATGACATTTGGAATGGCAATTACCTTTTAGGTGATGTGGCAGTAAAAATGTTGAATGTGACAGCACCTACACCTCAGCAGTTACAAGCCTTCAAAAATGAAGTAGGAGTACTCAGGTAAGCTGGTGTGAAATTACTATTTCCTAGAAAAGGAGCTATTTTCATTCACTCCTATTTTCTAGTCATAGTCACTGTTAGCTTTACAGATTTACTCAAAATAGATAAACATGTAGAAACAGAGTATGCCTGAATGTATTTTATCTTTAACCATTTAAGTAGTATGTAATACTATATGGTATATCTCGTAAAAGACTTAATCCTAGACTGAATTAATGGAAATATAATGTTCTGATCATGTAAAGTAATAGTTCTGCTTACAGAAAGAATACTTCAAAATTTTAAGCTTATCAGAACACATTTAGAAAGCCCTGGGACTAGGGCTAGGACTACTTAAATGGGAAAGATTCCAGGACTATTGGGGGGGGGGGGGAAGAAGTCAGTAGAACTGAGGATACTTAGTCCAGGGAAGGCTATTATGTTAAAGAGGGTGCAAAATTATTCCAGAAAGTAGAACAGGGAAGCTAGTGGTAGAAATTGTGGGAAAATTACTCTGTCTCAATGCAAGAAAATGTTCTAATGTTAGAACCACTTAAACACAGAGGTGGGGGTTAGCCACTTTCTCAGTGATAAGTTTCCCGTAATTCAAGGTGTTTAAGCAACCTCTAGTTGCCTGTCAGATATATTTAAAAAGGTATTTCTGAATAAGGTAAGAGGTTAGACCAGACAATTCTCAGTTTCTTCTAAATTTATCCTTCTGTTGCTTTTTGTTGTTGTTAATATTGTTTTCTGCCATCTATTGATAGATTGACAGCTTTGGCTCACTTTTTTTAAGAAATTGCTAAAGTTTGTCAACATTTACTATTTACTGTCATATTTCCTTTTACAGGAAAACACGACATGTGAATATCCTACTCTTCATGGGCTATTCCACAAAGCCACAACTGGCTATTGTTACCCAGTGGTGTGAGGGCTCCAGTTTATATCACCATCTCCACATCATTGAGACCAAATTTGAGATGATCAAACTTATAGATATTGCACGGCAGACTGCACAGGGCATGGAGTAAGTGACATTCTGTTAATCTCTTGTGAATTGGTTTTACAGACTATTGAGTTTTTTTTTTTAAGGCTTTGGCTGATATTCTTTTGGATTGTATTTTAAACTATTGTCTAACAATATAAGACACTAACTAATGGCTAATGATACGATACTGAAAAAAAATGTCTTTCTCTAGTATAGTCTTTAAAACATATATATGTATTCAGTTATTTGACAATAAATATATGATTACAAAATTATGTTCAGTACTCTCTGATTTAGCTAAGCAATTAAGCTTCAGAAAATAAAAATAGGAGAAAAAACATAAAAGCCATTCACAGTTGTTGAAAGTATACAAAATGATTATTATTTTTTTAAATAATCTTTTCTATATGCCCATATTTTCTGTTGCAAACTGATCAGTTAATAAAGTTTAAAAATGGCTTGGTGCCTGTAGCACAGTGGTTTTGGCGCCAGCCACATACACCAAGACTGGCGGGTTTGAACCTGGCCCAGGCCATCTAAACAATGACAACTGTAACAAAAAATAGCCAGGCATTGTGGTGGGCACCTGTAATCCTAGCTACTTGGGAGACTGAGTCAAGAGAATTGCTTAAGCCCAAGAGTTTGAGGTTGCTATGAGCTGTGACACTAGCATTCTACCAAGGGGGCCATAGTGAAACACTGTCTCAAAAAAATGAAATAAAATAAAGTCTAAATGAAAATATTCACTCTGATCCTTCTTGAGGATTTCAAGTTGAGTTGATCATATCTATGGAATTTGCTATGTAATTTAAAAGGTAAAAAGTTATTTTATAAGTCTTATCATAGACTAAAATGGGAAATTGGCGGTGCCTATGGCTCAGTGGGTAGGGCGCCGGCCCCATATACCAAGGATGGTGGGTTCAAACCCAACCCCGGCCAAACTGCAACAAAAATAAAGAAAAAAAAAGGGCAGCGCCTGTGGCTCAGAGGAGTAGGGCATCGGCTCCATATGCCAGAGGTACGGAGGTGCGGGTTCAAACCCAGCCCTGGCCAAAAACTGCAAAAAAAAAAAAAAAAAAAAAATGGGAAATTGAATTTGAAGGATGAATTTTTTGTGTGTAACTCCTAAGTGCAAATAATAGGTAAATCAAAGGGACAAAACTAAGTAAAGTTTGAAAGCACTTAGATGAAAATTATAAATTTGGTAAAATATAAATCTGAAAGCTCTGTGAGTAGTTTAAAAATAGGTATGATCTTAATATTTGATAGTATATAAGTCGCTTTCACATCCATTGATTATTATTTTCTCATCTAATCTTTATAATCTTATGAAAAACTTTTTTTTAAATAGATAATTGAGGCTTTTAAGTGACTTGCCCAAGGGCACACATTTAGTAAGTGGCAGCAAAGGTGTTTAACGGAGGATTTATTTCTGAGTCCCAATCCAAAATTCTTTCCCTGTACCCACTGTACTATTTTTACATTATAAAATTAGAATAAAAAATAAAATGGTATATATGTACTAACACAACTGTGACTCAAGGTCACTTATAGCAAGTAAATTAGAGGCAGGACTCAAAACCAGATCTAGTTCTTAAATCGCCCCACTGTACCAACTTCTTTTTCTCAAAACTAGGCAATTATATCTATAATTTAGATGTTTACAAGCCTATGTTCAGCCAAAGTGCTTTTGGTAACAAATTATGACCTTATTCAGTAACATTCCCACATATCCACTGGACTTAAAACAATCTCAGCCTTTTACATGTTAGAATCTGAATCTGTTAGACTCTATTAGATTATATTAAAATCTTGTGAAGAATAAGCCATGGGAAAAACAGTGAACATTCAGAGACAAACAAGATGAATTTCTCTTCCTCCCTCACTGGTCTCTTTGCTGTCTGTTCAGCAGGCCAATCATACTCCTTCTTCAGCACCTTTATACTTGTCTTTCGGGGATACTAATGCCACAAATACCCTTACGTCTCTATTCTTATGTCCCCTTTTAAGAGAAGCATTCTCTGATCATCTTATGTAAGTTAACATTTCTCCACCCAAACCTGTCACTCTTGTCATCCCATCCTTGTTTTTCTTTATAACACCCAGCTCTATCTGACTTGTTTATTTTCTGTCACTCTAATTTGAATGCAAGTTGTATGAGAGCAGAGGTTTGATTTTGTTCGTTGTTTTATGCCTAATCCCTAGAATAGTATTCAGTACATATCTGTTAAATGAAAGAATGATTACATGCAACTGCATGTTATAGATAAGTTTACCTTCCAGAAGAGAGAGAAACCAGATCCTTCTTATATCAAAACTAAGAAATATCAAGGAAGGGAATAATATTCAAGGAAGTAATAAAAGGGAATAAAGAGAAGAGGCCAAGCGTGGTGGCTCACATGTATAATCTTAGCACTCTGGGAAGCTGAGTCAGGTGGATCGATTGAGCTCAGGAGTTCGAGACCAGCCTGAGCAAGAACATGACCCTGTTGCTACTAACAGTAGAAAAACTAGCCAGGCATGGTGGTGCATGCCTATAGTCCCAACTACTCTGTAGGCTGAGGTAAGAAGATCATTTGAACCCAGAAGTTTGAGGTTGCTCTGAGGTACAGTGATGCCACGGCATTCTAGCTTGGGGCAACAGAATGAGACTCATTCTCAAATATTAATAACAACCAAGGAGAAATGGGCTCTTGATATAAAAAGGGGCATCAAAGAATGGTATTAAAAATTGTTTTTAGAAACAGTGATGGGGCAGTGAAGTGCCAGTATTGATTAAGATAGGAAGTGACAATAGAGTACACTGTCAAATTGAATGTCTCTGCAGCCTGAGTAATAGTGAAGAAGTGATATTTTTCTATTACTTTATAGTTTTGGATTATCAGTGTAAACTTTATACCATAATAATTTGTTTACATTTTAAAATAGCTCTTACTATGTAATGAGTATACCTGGCTGCAAATGTAGATCATTCTATCTGGTTTATCCTAGACTTTAGTAGCTAACAAAGTACTAATTATAAGTTTAACCCCTCTAGCAAAGTATACTTTTTATTACCAGCTTAAAATTAACAAAGATACAGTTCCTTTTTCCCCTTTTTCTTCCTTCTTATAAGGTGATTACATGCAACTGGTGAAATATACAAACGCATCTTTAGATTCTGAAGGCTCTGACAGACTGCAAATCCTTTTATGATAAAAGCTATTTGGGTTTCAGGTTAAGGTAACAGATTTTTGTTGCCTCCTAGAACTCCACTAAATAATGATGAATTTTTTTTTTTTAAAGCATGAATGTATAAGGATGGAGATAACAGGAAGGAGACAGTAATAGCATTTTGAGAGCTATAAAGCAGATAGAGAAGTGACAGTGGACTTAGCCAACCCATAAAGGCTAAATCATTAGTTGGCAATGGAGAAATGAAAGCCAACTTGATTTATACCACATCCTGAGCATCCTCAGGAATTAGCACTGTCAGCTATCTCCGGGGGTTAGAGGACCAGAGTGAAAAGTCTTGTTTGAAAAACTACTATTTCTCTAAGTCCCTTTTCCTACTCACTGGGTAAGTGCTCCATCACTATCCTGGCAATAGACTGGAAGTGTGTTCTCTGGACTGGGGAACCCTAAATTATGTCTAGGACCTGGATATCTTACACCAAACAGGAAGATTGGGTGTCTATGTGCTTAGTGAATGATGAATGGAGATTTTCTCAACCCTGTCTTTTCATTTGTTCCCAGAGTGCTGGCAGCCAAACTTTACTGTTCCTGCAGGAGATTAGAAGAGTCCTCTCTGAGGAATCTCACCAGATCAGGAGGAAAGACTCAAAGAAACCAGTATCAGAGATTCCACCTAGGTCACAATACAGTTCAAAAACAACAAGCCCTTTGGCCAGGCACAGTGGCATGTGCCTATATTCCCAGCTACTCGGGAAGCTAAGGCAAGAGGATTGCTTGAACCTAGGAGTTGAAGGTTGCAGTGAGCTGTGATCATACCACTGCACTCTTTCCTGGATGAGAAAAGAGACCTTGCCTCTTAAAAGAAAGGGGGAAAAAAAAAAGAATCAAGAAACTCATTTGTATGCTCAAAACTTCCAGATAACTTGCTAGTCTCTCATTTAGTCTGGTAAGACTAATGATCTCTGGATCACCAGATAGATATCAGAGGAGAAATCTCTGAGGCAAATGAGAGAGAGTAAAATGCACAGAGGCAGGGGCGGCAGGGAGGGCTTGGGGGGGTGTCTCAGAGAAACAGACACAGTACAAAATTACTTCCCTCCACCCACCCCCCCAAAAACCTACCAGTTTCCTCAGAGAAATAAAAGATGATTTTCTTATCCATTAAAAAAGAATAGGTGCTTTCTTGGGTGGTGCCTGTGGCTCAAAGAAGTAGGGCGCCGACCCCATATGCTGTAAGTGGCGGGTTCAAACCCAGCCCCAGCCAAGAAAAAATTAAAAAAAGCATGGGTGCTTTCTAAGAAACATTCATGTACAACTTTAAAAAATACTAATGTGTCAATATATTATATACTAGAAATTACATCTTTTGTAATTAAACTTTTAAATGTCAAAATAAAATATACAAAGAGCTAGTTTCTCAGGATTCTTTTAAGGGTTCTTCAACAAAAACTGTTTAAAAACTATCATGCAAATGCTATATAGTGTCATATTAATTAATCTGTATTATGCAACATAGTTCAGAAAGGATACCTGGATAAATTTTTTACAAACCAAGTTACATAAATAGGTATAATTAATTGTAACACATAACCAGATTGTGTGAGTGGTTCTTTGTTGTTGTTGCAGTTGTCATCATTGTTTAGCTGGCCCTGGGCCGGGTTCGAACCCACCAGCCTGGGTGTTTGTGGCTGGCACCCTACCCACTGAGCTATGGGTGCTGTCCTGTGTGAGTGATTCTTGCTGAAGTGGATATTCCTGTTTTCTTCTCACTATTGATGACTAAACACAACTATTTTCATTACATTGAATTGAACAGTGTTTTTGTTGTTAGAAAATGGTCAAAATCTGTTCTAAGGGGCAGGCAT